CGTTTTGGGTTGGGGGGTTTTTTTGCAGACATGTATGGTACCTCTTACTTCGTTACGCTCGAATGTGGGGTGGGCTCGACGGTGGCCCGACGAGAGGGCGTCAGGGACGCAGAAGGTCTTGCCGGCGCGCCAAACGAGCTGTGAAGACATCGGAGCATTTTCCTCTCACGCTGGACGTCGGGGGTTTTTCTATGGCCTGCCAACCGTGTTGTGGTTCAGGAATATAGAGATATAAGACCTGTGGGTCGTATGAAGGGTAAAGCGTGGCTTTGGAGGCCGGAGGTACAGGCGGCACTTTCCATGCCATGAAGCGCCAGCATCTCCAGCTCGATTGTGGGCGTAGCGTGGACGAGCCGGAGAATAGAGAGTAGAGATAGATTTCCTGAAATAGGCGTATCTCAGACCCCGTGAGGCAAAGGCCTAGTTTGTAGAGTACTGGCAGTAGGGCGTTGAAAGGAGCAAGACTGGGGGCATAGGAGGGAACAGCTTGAACCTTCCGAATGAACCTGGTCCATGGTCTGGGGTCCAGTAAAGGACGTTTTAGCGTGAATCAGAGGCGGAAGAGGTATAAGAGAGATAGCCGACTCCATCTGGTGAGAAGTGGCCAGCTGATTCACAGATCCATGAACGACCGAGGTTTCCGTAATATTGGAGGGTAATAAGAAGATAATACTCGTATGGCTGCACCTTTTCCAGAGGTCTGGCAGCGATGCCCTTGGTGAGATGTTATATCTCAAAAACTGACACATTGGTGCGGCTAGCATGAAGGTTCAGCTTGTTCAAGGTTATGACCCTAGGCGCCGACAACTGGGATACATCTGGAAACTCGTCGGAGGCTGAGTCGGTAAAGAATACTTGTCGAAGAGGAGGATATCATACTACCATATTACAAAAGTTGGATGATGCTTGGCAGAGCCAGGTCTCCGCGAAGACAAGTAGGGATGCCAGGTCCCTTAGGTTGTGCAGTTGGTAGTAGCGCACATGAGGTTGTTAATAGAAACGTCGTGAGGTGACGGTTCTTTCCTCCGCACGCTCCATCTTGGCTAAATTCATGCAATATACTGCCATTAAGTAAGAACTTGGCAGATTGGTGAATGGGCCGGTAGCGTCAGCGGTTGGTGGCGATGGGTGTGGTAGGGGGGGCCGTGAGGACACTTGGAGTTACGGCGGTGGCTGAGGGTCGCACTGAGGTGGCGCGTACACAATTGCAGACTATAGAGGTACCAGGGAGCGCAGTTGGATGGCGACCACTCGGGGAGGCTTTCACCGGATGGGGCGATATGTACCGCCTGTGCTGCAGCCAGGGAGTCGAGTTCCGTCCTTGGTAGCCTGGTCTAAGGTAGTAGCGTGGGTTATATAGGTTAGGCGTGGTGGTATGGGCGGTATAGGATGTCGATATTTCCTTTTTGTGTGACCGGTTGGGAGTCCGCAATGGGAGGTGGGGAAAGTTACTCATGACACAAACTCATGATCTTCTCACACTGTGTGCGGTTCAGTTATCCTAGGAGATGGATCAACAGAGTCTTATTTTAACAGAACTACACATAGGGATTGTATGATATATGATTAGAGATAAGTATTTATGTGTGTTAATCTTCTTAGGTCTTCTGAGACGCTACAATAAGTGGGGAGATATGCTTGAGATCAGTCAGAGTATTGTATAATCATTGCACTGAATCTATGTTATGACATATGGAGGTCACAAGAGGATGGGCTTTGGGATAATTTAGAAGATACTGATGGCCAGGTCCAACGCAGTGGCCCATCGCAGAGCAGAGGTGTCTGGATTAGATATAATATATACCTATCGTGACGTGAAGAATGGACTTGAGACATAAAGTATAGATCGCACTTTGTACTCACGACTGGAGTATTGAGTCTGATAATAACACTAAACCCAAAGTGAGGATCATGAGATGAATACATTACTGCTGAGAGGACGTCATACGTACTATAGGCGATGGGTAGTGATAGTTATTGGCATCTAGGTGGAATTCCAAGGAGTACCTAAGGTGATACTTCGGGCAAGTCACCGTAGAATATTAGATCCAGTGTCAAGGTAGCATCAAGTAGTTGGGAGGAATTTGAGTTATAGCCTATATAGGATCAGGGTGAATATTGACTGCTTAGTGGAGATCCTGCATGGATTGGCATATATAATAATCTTAACGTGCATTTCTAATAACGTAAGTCTGAGATTATTTAGTAAGAGGTTATACCTGGATGGAGTTTTGCAGCACTTGGCGATAGTGTAACCACTGATTATTGACAGATTAGATGATGCATTCAGAGTCCTTTGCTGGCCCGGGGACGTCGAGTGCAAACATATCAGTAACACACCACTCACTTATGTACATCGCATTGTATTAGGGTCAAGTTTAACTAATCTTATTGGCTGGCATATGCATAACCAATATGAGCCTAAATGTTGTTATTTGGGTATTAAGACTCAAAGAGACCATGGAGAGGCTGAGAAGATCTTTAGTGAGAGTCACGGTGGAGACTTGAAGTGTGAGAGGTTGATGATAGTGGTCGTATATACTGTCATCTTAACTGGCGCGTTGGTTCTCTTATGTTAATGGAGAGGACTATGCTTCATTGAGTATGGTCAGAGGGCAGCATAAATAAGTTATAGTAAGCAGCATACACTGAGATATAGGATTCATAGAGCAGGTGACAAGTCATTCTAAAGATGCCTGGCTGTCGAGGGAGACAAGGGCTGCACGAGATTATAACTTCGCTATTCGTACATAGCACGCCATTCGATATAGTATTCAATTGCTTATTAAGCTAATCAGTTTAGCTATAGCTACAGGTATTAGATTAGGACGGTACCTACACCGCTGAAATAGTGTGGTTGTACTGATGATCGCTTTCGTATGGGACCTTAGGTGTGATAGTGAGATATAGTTGTGGTCGCTGTGTGGTGTGGTGTGGGTAAGTGTGCTGTATGATAGGTGGGTTGTGCATGTCGTCGGTGTTGGTGCTTTGCTAGAGATGTAGATATGTAGACATGCGTGTGGGTGGTGGTGAGGTGTCGCTCGGGTGCGGTGCTGTTGCGATGTGTTGTCGGTGTTGCTGTGTGGTTGTTGTGTGTGCGGAAGTGTTATGCTTGTGGTGTGTGTGTGGTAGTGTGTGTGTAAGGTGCTGGTCTGGAATAGTGTGTCGCTGTTTGCACATTGGCATGCGATGTAGTGTGCTGTGTGAGGTGTATTGCATGTGTAGATGTCGATGGCTAGGCTGGTTGGATCTTGCTCGGCTGAGTAGTCGGTGTGTGTGTAGGCTCGTGTGCGCGGTAGGTGTATATTGGTTGTGGTGTTGTGTTGTGGTAGGTTGGTGGGTATACGTTGGTTGGTGGTGGTGTGTGGTGCTGCTATGTAGGTGGAGCTATTAGTCCGCTACGAAGTTGTGTCGGGACTGTCGCTGTAATTGGTAGTGGGAGATAATGTGTGGGTAAGAGATTGAAAAGTATCGGACATGATCAAGCACTGATATAGGTAGGGCTGGGTAATCGATTATAAGGATTTAACCTCAATGACCAGATAGCTAGATAAATTTGAGGAGCTCCTGATGTGGAATGATCCTGCATCTGATGGTTATAGGTTCATACAATGGTAGTGACATAGCGATAGTGGTGAGCAGCTGGTGTTGATGTTTTCAAGGCTATAGATGTATTTAATTATTGCACTAGTACCTTTGAGAGGGGTCTATGGCGAAGCTAATCATATGAGCTGAGTTTAGTTGTACTTAGTACTAATAGCAGTTATCGTTACGTATTAAGTCTGATTCACGAGCTTGATTGAGCTCTACATTTGAGAAGACGGTATTCTTGTTAAGTCTATTACGCTTAATTCGAGTACTTAATATACTATATATTAGACGATAGTTCTATAACTACCTATACGGTTCAAGATATATTGACGGAGTGTAGCTTATTGGAGGTACTATGGGATCGAATCTAGTCAACTATATATCTTGGAGTATATACATGGTCTAGTGCTATGTAGAATGAGTGGACTGTGAGTAAGGGATAGAGTGATGAGGGTGAGAAGGGGGGTGATGGGAAGAGGAATGAGTTAGGTACTCGCCCTCACCCCAAAACTTTTTCTTTTTATCCCTCAGGAGTTGGCTACCGACCCGCTGTCATCATACCATACCCAAGTCATCACTCATGGCTTGAAATAGGATTTTCTGGGTGTAGACATGCCGGTTGGTGTCTTTGACGAGCTGATCGTTCAACACAGATGTAATTTGTGGCACTGAAAATGAGTGCAACGATTCGTTCTTGGCGTGAATATTCGAAAAAAGAAAACGAATTGCTTCTACAAGTTCGTTGGTAATGCATGTTGTGGCGGGGGAGAGGTTTTTGCGCGTTGCTGGAACGTGCCGCGCTCGGTGAATGGGCGGTTGAGGCGAGAACGATCCTGTAGTGCACCGATCGGAACTCGGAGGGGACGGACGCGTTCGTGAGTCTCTGGGTTGGCGGGGAAAAAATGGTGTGCACTAGTGGGTGATGCCTGAGAAACTCCGCAACACTTCGCCACACAATGTAATAATGCACTACCTACACTCCAATAATACTTCAACAACTAAATATAGTCAGTTATATATAATCTTAGTGGACACTCACTGTTAAAGATCCGGACGATAAAATTACAAAATATTAAACATATGAGATACGTAATATGCATATATATTCACACACAGAGGAAGCAATACAGACGTGTATATGGTCAAGAACATGTCTTTCAGTGATAAAACTTTTCCCTACATAAACAAGCAGCAAGGGATTTTTCACATAATACTCTCATTTCCTTTACTATTAATAAGTGAATTGTCATTACCAATATTTTGTTTTATTATCTATCTATTAATCTATATGTATATACATATATAGATATATAGATAGATATATATTACTATTATTGTTGTAATAATGACTACAATTATTGCCATTATTGTCATTTATTATTGGAATGTAATTACAATTTTCTGTTACCATGATTGTTAGTGTTTTATTGTATTTCATATTAATCTGATCACTTGCATGCCATTAGCGGAGGACGTACCTATCTATTCTAGCCAATTGGATCCGCCACAGCAATTCAAACGTCGGCCTAACTAGGATCCCGGGTATTCCTTTAATTAATTTCTTGTTTCCCTCAGGTGATTCAGGTGCAAGTGTTCGGGGAGACGCTGGCGGTGTTTCGAAGCAAGGACGGCACAGCACACGTAACGGACGCTTACTGTCCCCACATGGGCGCAAACATGGCGGTGGGCGGTGTGGTAAAAGGAGATTGTCTTGAGTGTCCCTTCCATGGCTGGCTATTCAGAGGGTCTGATGGCTCCTGTGCCCACATTCCGTATTCAAGTAAAGGTAGGCCTACAATATGAATGTAAAATAGATTGGATGAGATTATGTCACTGTTTTTCTCTCTGTATTGATATTGTAGTAAGATCAATACATTTTTCCAGCTGTGCCTAAGACGGCTAATGTAAAGCGATGGGAGTCACGCGAAGTGAACGGTCGCATATATGTGTGGTACGACGCAGAGGGACGACCTCCGCAGTGGCACATCCCCGAAATCGGCCACGTCACCCGCGGCGAGTGGTCCTACCGCGGAAGGACCTACCATGAAGTCCTCGCACATATTCAGGTAAGCTCTCTTGGCAAAGTTGCTAACCACAAACGATAATGCAGCTCTCTGTCGCAATTTGCATAGCTGATAGAGCGCAATTCAGGATAAACGGTCTAATTTAGGCTAATATACCTTTATTCTGGCCTCTCCAGGAGATTCCTGAGAATGGAGCAGACATGGCCCACCTGGGACACTTGCACGTGCCTAACATTTTCAAAGGAAACGACTTGAGGGACGCATTTGCCAACAACCAGGTTAGCTATGAGTGATTGGTCTCCAGATTTCGATTAAAGTGTCATTAGGCGTGATTTATAGAATATGTTTCACTACTAAGTGTTATCCAATCATGAAAACATGGTATTGAATTTAAATCATATAGAAATATAAGTATAAACATAATTTATATACATGTGTAATATCGTTGGTTTTAATCCAGAAAAGCAGCTTTATCAACACTACTGTTTAGTAACTATGCGGTTAGTATGATCCTGTGGTAGAATTGCTAGTTAGGTGAATATATCACACTGCTTCCGGTCAAATAAGCAGAGAGAAAGAAATATGTTTACCTTATTCTCCCTCGAGGCGCCGCGCCGTCCCTAGCGTGTTGCTATCCCGTCTTGACTTCTACACAAAAACATAAGATTTCTCAGCCACCACTACACTGAATTATATATCACCACATCTTTCAGTTTTTCAAAACAACACACAAAATAGCACGCACAAACACAATTATCACGACACTAAACCAAACAGCACTGATTTCAAACTCGTGACCGATCACTGTGAACACCAACAGTTAACTGACTCCGAGTTCCTTAATTTCTCTTCGTTTTGACCAAATTCGCGGGAAAACCAAAGTGCAGATTCTCAATCCACAAAACGATACAATGCATCGATTATTGTATTACGTAAATGGGTCTAAATGCCCTTCAGTAATTCATTATTTGATAAAACTAATTTGATTTGTGCAAAACATCCTTATTATTTGTTTGTGGTAAAAATAAATAAATAAATAAATCTCACATTGAACGCCTGCAATTTCATGATAAACATTGATACAGATTTTAAGGTATATACTCGTGAATGTCAACATTATAGGCAAATGTGGGTACTGAAAAATATGCTTTGATAAGTATGTCATTTGAAAATTTCAAAATAGTAATGATAAATTTAAATCATTTGAAGACATTCGCTATAGACGAGTATGGCGGACCGTCTAAAATTTCACTTTATTTCTTTAACGGTAATGGTTAATGTTTAGCCACGGTTATGTTAAATGCAGCATGAGTTACATTAGAAGGGATAACATAAAATTAGCAGTAAAAGCAATTGCTTAGTATCGTAATAAATGATGGAAAGGCATAGATGACGAAAACAACATAGACCGTTAGAGTCGAGATTTATCAAAGTTTTTAAAGATACATCCACCTCTTTCCTTGGGCTTCTCTCTCTCTCTCTCTCTCTCCCTCTCTCCCTCTCTCCTCTCTCCTCTCTCTCTCTCTCTCTCTCTCTCTCTCTCTCTCTCTCTCTCTCTCTCTCTCTCTCTCTCTCTCTCTCTCTCTCTCTCTCTCTCTCTATATATATATATATATATATATATATATATATATATATATATATATATATATATATATATATATATATATATATATATATATATGCGTGTGTGTGTGTGTGCGTATGTGTGTGTGTGTGTGTGTATATATATATATATAATATATATATATATATATATATATATATTATATTATTTATATATATATATATATATATATATATATATATATAATGTGTGTGTGTGTGTGTTGTGTGTGTGTGTGTGTGTGTGTGTGTGTGTATGTATGTATGTATATACTCTCTC